TTTTTAAAATATCATAACTGATAATATCAAATATGAATTTGAATAGAATTATATTTGTATATTATATTTTAGCAGTTTATATATATTCTTTGTTTCAAACAATAGTAATAGTAATATTAAAAATAATCGTAATAATAATGAAGTGGAGCGAAAAGCAACCACACTAAATACAATCGAAGCGTTTGTATCTGTCGTTGTTTTCGCTGTTCTTGTTGAGATCGCTTGATAAGGCTGCTGTTGCTTGGCTGCTGTGGAAAGAGATCATGTCTACACAATTAAATCAACTGGCAAATAGATCGATAAACACAGATATTAATTCATATATACATATTCATATATGTATCGATTAATCGATGCGGGTGTTGTGTGTGTGTGTGTGTTATGTTGTGTAAGTGTGAGTTATAGTCAAAGGAGTTTTTTCGTTCATATGATTTTTTGGTATCAAACTTTCATTTAAAAAAAAAAAACATTTTTTAGCACACGAAAAAAAAGAGAAAAAAAATGATAAACTTTGCTAATTGCCTGTATGTGGCAACGCCGGCAAAGCTGCTCCTGTTCCTGTTGCTGCTGCTGTTGAATAACAGCGTCTGCTGCTCTGGAGTTGAATAACAGTTGCTGCAGTTTACGTGCTGTTAAATATCGTTTCTGCTTCTGTTGATGTTGTTGATTGTTGATTTTCGTTTGTTTGATTGTTGACTGTTGACATTGATGATTGCTGCTGTTGGTGCTGATGTTGTTGCGGCCTCAAGGCCTGGCAAACTTGTTGTTGGCTTTTTATAAACTTTCTTTTTCAAATTTTCTTTTAATTTAAGATTCGCTACTGCTGATGCAGTGCTTAAGAGTGAGAAGGAAATATGGGCAATTCGTCTGTTATGCATTGGATATATATATAAGGGGAAATCTATACCTGGCTGACTGTGTTTGTGCGTGTGTGTGTGTGTGTGTGAGTTACTGTGTGATTGTGTCTGTGTATTTATTATAACAACAACAACAAACATTACAACTGTTGCTGCTGCACTGCTTAATGTTAACTTACATGGCTACAAATACATAACTTAAGCTTAACAGCGTTGCTGCTGTTGCTGCGGCGGCGACTGCGGCTGTTACGGGCATATGTCAAGGTCCTGACACAAATTTGCGAGAGCACGTGATACACGCACACACATGCATGTGAGCACGCAGCATGCTCTCTCCCGCTCGCTCTCGCTCTATCTCTCTCGCTTGCGCTATCGTAGTCGATTTTTGTTTACGTTTGACCGCCGCATTCAGCAATAAATCTAAGGGCACAAAAGCACAAAAATCTGATGACGCCATTTGGAGTATGAAGTGCGGCAACAGCGCACAACTTTTTATTATGCATTTTGGCATTTGGCGCTTTATCCATTTGGCAATCAAAAGAAAGTTGAATCATGCAGCTCAAGGACCTAAAAATATGAAGCTGCGCCGTTGACCCACCAAAATAGGTCAACTAAGAACACAGGCACTCGGCAAGAGTGCGTCGCCATGTGCGTATACCTATGTGTGTGTGTGTAAGTACAGCAAAAAACAGTCAAGGGAGAGAGACAGAGATATCTATGCTTAAACTTAAGCTTAGCCTATGCTATGAGTGAAAATGCATTTTTGAGTGAAATGAAGTAGCGGGCGGCATTTTTTTTTTTTTTTTTTTTTTTTTTCGTGGTTTGTGAAGCGACGTTACAGTGAGGCAAAGAACGTAAAGCAAGTGGTGAAAATTAAATAGGCAGGTTAAATAACTTTGATGGTGTAAACAAAAAGAATTACAAGTTTTTTCTTTTAGATAAGAGAACATTTACCGGTACATCGTGAGGCTGTTTAGGTTGCAAAGGCCGCACCACGAAAACGTTGTTAGGCCGTTACTATAATCCTCTTAGTGGCCGAAAAAATATATTGATATATTCAACGAAATCTGCTCTCAAATCACGTTGAAACTGGAAATGTCGTATTTTTCCATCTTGCTTTTGGTTTTCGTTTTTGATTTTCTTTTTTAGTTGTATTTCTGTTATATTTAAATGCARTTACAGTTACGTTCGAGTGGAAGAGCTTGCCTTACGTTACGTTACGTTAAGTTAATTTGAGTATTGTTTCTCTTTTCTCTTCTTTTTCTTTTTCTTTTTATATTTTTATTCTTCCTCCTTATATTTATTGCTTTTTATTTATCACATTTGTATTGCAAGACACTGACGAACAGAACGCGACGCGACGCGTTGCGTTACGTGACATGTTGCGTTACGTGACGTTAGCGATGCGAAGCGCTGCAGAAAATCGTTTCAGTATAGTTTCTCTCTCTATATTATAT